ATAGGCTTGTCACCTACAGGGGACTTCCCTCAGTCTGCAGGGCCATCGACTGAGAGCTGAGATACCGGCTTTGGTGAGAGGGGCAATTGAGAATGATGTGGGGCAAACCCGATGCTGGGTTCTGCTGGTGTGGGCAGCAACTGCCCTGGTGTGGTGAGACCTCAGGCCTTACCCACTGCCTAGGGCTGTAGGGTCTTCTCCAGATCACCCACCTCATTTGTGACTGTTCTGCATCAGACACAAGAAGGTCCCCGGGTTGTCTGAGGCTCTCTTGGGGAATCACAACAGTGTTGGGGATTTTGCACTTGACATTGGGAACTGGAAGTATGTCAGAAAGGAAACAGGGAGCCCTTGATGAGATCCTCTTCTGCTGGAAATCAATATTACACCACTGAAGCCATGCCATTAAACTAGGATGAGGATCTGACGTGTGTGGAAATCAGATTTATACCACTGAATTGTCAATTCTTACCATTAGTTACTAAATTCTGAATCTGTTGGCTGATTTCATTTAGGCTTTTAAAGAGGTAAAAAGGCTAAAGTGAAACATCAGTACTAAGATAAAGTTGGGGGGGGAATCAAGCTAGCTTTTGCAAAAAGACTGCTGTAATCTCAAAGACTTTGTTTACTTTTTGCTGTCAGCTGGCTAGCTTAGTATATATGTGCAGGCCAGCCAGTCAGCACACATGAAACTCTGAAATATGCAGGCTTGTGGTTGCAGGACTTGATAGGAAGTAAAGGTTGAGAAACGTTTGGATGGGGAAGATTTGAAGGGGTGTTGCTGGGGAGGGACCACAGTTTATGAGAGTTCTGGGGTGTTACAGACACAACGCACGCATTCAGGGAAAACTAACCTTTGTTAGTTCCACTGCTGGCAGAGGCAAGCACCAAGTGTAAGGGAGTCTTGCAGAGCTGCAGCATGGTTAGCAACCAGTCTGGCCTCCCAGCTGTCCCCCATCAGAGAGATGCATGCTGATTTTCAAAGGCAGCACTTGTGTTATGACCCCTTCTGATGCTGTACAAGTGAGCAGCTAGCCCTGGAGGCATAGATTTTTTTTTTTTAACAAGTACATGAGGAAAGTCCCATCTTTCTGAGATCATTTAACAAGCCTGGTATTTCTTAGATTCTGCCTTTCTGGATCCAGTTATAGTACCCTGTGCAGTCCAGCACCTCTCTTTAACTCGGGCCACTTATGCCATTGAGAAATAAGCACAGATTTTCCATGTATTTCTCAGATGCATTTGACTTTAGCTTCCTCCAGCATGCACAGCTCCTGCTACCCATAGACTCATGCAGAGACCGGCTTTTTACCTAGCCTTTGCTGCGAATCCTTCCTGCTTGCCCCCTTGTCCCACTGTTCCTCAGTTTTGCGTCAGGTTTACCCCAGCGAGCGCTGTCCCTAAAACTCTTGGTAGGGAAACAAGGCAGGGGGAAGTGAGGTGAACCACTTGATGGTCTTTGAGAGGCTTGTGGCGGAAGCCCTGTCTTTGTGACCCAGGTGCAGTATATGTCCTCGCAAGTCCCACTGGAAAGCGCTCCTCCATTAATAGTGCTATCTTTGCTGGCTGGTGTCTGCAGACAGTGGCTCCTCGGCGTTGCCTCCTCCCATGTAGGCACATGGTACCACAGCATCCCTGCCCTGCTCCACAGAGAAAGCACTTTCTGCTGGATGAGAAGGCCTTTGGGTTGACAAAGAATGGTGGGGGGAGCGGTTAGGAAAGGATCCCTGGGCACAGAGAACAGAGCTCTAATCCTGTTGCAGATAACATCATGTCTGCAGGCTAGGCTTGTGTGTGTTTGGGGGAGCTGGAGGGGCAGAGATTGTTAGGCAGTATTTGTTTGTAAAGCCACTTGCTCTGAAGATAATGCTTGCACTAACTTCTATTGAGGGAGCAGTGTGAGTCCCCACAAAGTCCTTTCCCAAAGTGTCTTTGAAGCCAAGAACCCATTGAAAGGAAGAAAGGCCAAGAGAGGGGATTAGTTTGTTCAGCAGCTGTGAATTTCAGTGGGAGGCTGATGAACTCCAAAGTCTTTGTTGAGATTTTTTTTGTAAGGAGCCCTGCTGGAGGGAGAGACCCACACGGGGCCGCGGCCTTAGACAAGAAGGAATCCGAAGCGGCAGGGAGCTGTAAACGGGCCACAAGGACTTTTCCCAAACACTTTTCGGAAAAGGTGTTGTGAAGAGAGCGGAGGGGGATTAGCATGTGAAATGACACTTTCCATTGACTCCACAGAGGGGAGGGGAAAAGGGCTGGCTGGCTGATTTATTAGCATTTTGTTCCCTTCTCTATTCTGCTTCCCCAGCAGCCCCCCTCCCCTTGCTCCCCTCCTCCCTGAGCCCTCTAAAGAGGTTTGGATTGGAAAAGGGAGCGGGGGGTTGCCTGTTTGTGTGTCATCTGGGCGAAGGTGACCACCTGGGAAGCTGAATGTAAATATTTCTCCTCTGAGGAATGCGCCTTCATTAAACCGAAATGAATACATGGAAGCATCCAATCCTGCCGCACAATGGCAGCAGTGCCTTTACCACTAAGGGCTCCTTGCGCCGGGGAGGGGGGACCCCTCCGGCCCCGACCTGCTGCTGAGGTCAGCACATTTTGCAGCTGCAGTGTCGCCATCTTCTCCTGGAGAAAGAAGCACGCGGCGGTGGAGCTCACGCGTGTAATGCTCCCCGCACGTCCCCTTCACCAACAGGCATCAGTGTGCCCAGCGGGCGCATCCTGGGCTGTGCCACGGCCTTCACAGGGCAACCGTGTGGGGCAATAATGTCAGCAGGGGAGGGGCAGGGTAGCACAGCCTGACATGTGCTGAGGAGGGGGAGGAAATGGGAAACAGCTTCCACATCTTCTCCTTTTCTTACATTTCCTGCTGGCTATGGAATGGGGGTCACAGAGGGACAAGGGGGTAGAAACTGTCCTCTCTGCCTTGCAGTGGTCCTGAAGCCAGCCCGTGCTGGAGCCTTCCCTGCTGGGTGAGAGGCTCTTGCCACCTCTTTGCTTTCCTGCTCAAGGATGCATTCCCAACGGAGGCAGATGGAGGAACTGCTGACAGAGGTGCAAGGGAAACCAAGGGCATGGTCATAGTATTAATAAGAACCTTTGCTCAAACAGGTGGTGGTTTATGTGTGAAGTGGAAGTATTTCAGGTTTCCTTGAGAACAGGCCAAGATTCTTTCTTGCACCTTCTGAAGGGACAGATTCTTGCTCGACATGAATGCTCTTGCTCTGGTGAGACCCCAGCTTGCCCTAGGTCCAAATTCCCACCCCCAGCAAACTAGTCTTAGGATTGAGGGGGTATTTGATAACTAAGAGACACATACAAACTGCTGAGTGTCTTTAATGTATCATCTCTGAAGTGGGCAACTGGACCCTGTAGGCCCTCCTCCCATCCCCTTTCCCCCGGCAGCTGCATTGCAGTGGGATGCAACCTCAAGCAAGCTCAAGGAGAGGGCAGGCCCTTTCCCTTCCTGGTAGTGGCCAAGGTTGTGCTGCATGGAGGGAACTGCTCAGCCTTTCTTACGCTTAACAGATGGGTAAGTGGCTGGGTTTTAGTCTCCAGAACTGTAACTACATACATCCACACATGCAATTGGATGAAAAAAAACACCCAACTACTTAGACACGACAGAATTTTGCAAGCACTTGGCTACTGATTTATTGCATTGGCTATTGGTTTACAAATATTGGCTATAAGACGTATCTAATGGCCAGTAACTTAGCTCCACTGGCTTCTCATCTGGCTAAAGGACACTTCAAACAGCAAAGTAGGTGATAATCTCACAGCCTGGGGGAGATCACTGTGATGGTGCAGTGAGCTTCCCTAGGTCCTGCAGCTGATAGCTTCTTCCCTCTCCCTACCCCAATCACGGCAAGGGAACAGACATGCATCAACTAAATCTTCCTGCTACTTGCTTAGCCTATAGAATATATACAATAAGCGGTAGAGGAAAAACTGCTACGTATACATCACAGTAACTGTGCAATAAATTAAACTTCAAAGTGCTTCACTTTCCTATTTACAACACCATTAAATAGTAAATGACATTATTTTCTCAGACTAGGAGGAAGTATTTAGTTAGTTAGCTGACAGGGTAAGAGTGCTTGGCAAGTACAGCAGGAGGTGGGGAATCTCTAGGAGAGATTTGGGAGGAAAGAGGGAGTGGAGAAGTGTGAGGGCATCTTTATGGCATCAAGGGCTTTGGCAGGGATGCAGGGGTGAAAAGGGAGACCAGACCTGGAAGTTTAGCAGATACAGAGAAAGCATGTAAAAAGCAAGTGATAGGACTCCTCTTTTATACAGCTGTTTAATGCGCAGGTCAAGCAGCAGCTTCAATCTTGCTGCTGCTGCCATCTCAAATGCAAAGTAAAGCACTAGAGAGCTTAGCAAAGCTGTCAAAGGATGGGAAGTGATGCTGTGGGCCTCCTGGAGGCTGGCTTGCTGCAGGAAGGAGTTGCATGCCTTTTCTATTCCCTCATCGTATAGGGCTTAATAAAAGGCAATAACTTTATTTTAGTGCCTCTATTTTTTTAGCGTACTAGAAGCCTCTTCTGTTTTCAGGATTGCCACTCTGAGTTGCCCAACTCTGGTGGTGCCATCTCAGCTTCCTTGTGCTTTCCTAAGTGTTGATCTCACTTACTCAAAAGCCTAGAGCAGGTACTCATTTGGGGAGCAGACAAGCTCAAAAGAGTAGGAGTCACCAAGACCACCTGTGTTTTCAGCGATAAAACCAGTCACTGCATAGAGTGACTCTGAGTTGAAGGACTGAATCTCACCTCATTTTGTCAACACTTGAGGGTCTTCCCAGGAGTCATCACCCACTAATGGGAAAGGCCCTGGATGGCCAAGGCCTAGGGGCTCAGGTAAGCTCTTTTGCCTTGTCCAAGCCCCAGTGAGGTGGCGTTGGGAACGAGACAAAACTGAGCCAAAGGGAAATGGTGTCGGGGGCTGATGGGGAGGGCAGGAGAGGAGAGGGGCAGACAGGACCATGGAGGAGCAGAGGTAAGTTAGAGCTTTCTCTTGAGCTTGCGGCTGGCCCCACCACCCCCGCTCCGCTCCCGCTTCTCCTTGCGGACGCAGAAGTACTTGGTGACCCTTTTGCGGCACTGCTCGCACCGCACGGCGCAGCACCAGTGGAACTTGCAGTTGCAGCTAGACACCATCTCTGCTCGCCTCTCCTCGACCGCCAGCCCGCAGTCCCCACACAGCCGCCGGCAGCTCCGCTTCTCCCACTTGCTGAGCGCCTTGCCCCGCTTCAGGCACTCCCTGCCCTCTGTGCCCAGCAGCCCCAGCGTCTTGTTCTCCAGGCAGTAGTCAGGAGAGTCTTCTAAATGGACCAGCTCTTTCTTGGAGATGGAGCTGAAGGTCTCGGCGATGGCACCCCGGCTGGCAGCGCTGTTCCCTGCCCCCTGCAGCAAGTCCACCTTCAGGGCTTTGTGGTACCTCTCCTTGAGGTAAGTGCCCACCTCCCGGAACTCAGGCAGCTGCAGCCAGCAGGTCTGGGTGGTGCAGCTCCCCGACACGCCGTGGCATTTGCAAGTCCTCTTCATGGTCCCTTTCACAGCCTACAGGGTGAGGAGAGAGAGGGGTTCAGGAAAAAGCCCAGAGGGGTCATTTCTGTGCTGCAGTGCATGGAGAAACATGGCTCCAGGCCTGCGGAGGGGTTTGCCATCAACCCCCCCGTGCAGTAGTCCTGCCCAGGGGTTGTTTGCTTAAAGCTCGCAGATTTGCTTCTCCACAGTACTCCCATACTTGAACTGGGAGGAAGAGGACAGCAGGAAACCATTAACAGTGTAATCACGGAAGGTTTGCTACCTTATAACAAACACCACCCATCACATCAGTACTGCTGCCATCCCCTTCTCCTCAGCAAGGTAGTGTTTCTTCTGGACACGTGCTTTTAGCCACAGCAAGTTGTGACTCTCCACAGCGAACAGCCAGAGCCAACCTGGTGTGCGCTGTTAGGTCTGGAGGGAGAGAGTAGCTCACCTTTCTACCTGCCTCATTGTTATGCAGGTTCATAGCAGCTCTGGCGTCCTGTCCCGTCTCCAGGGCATCCACAAACTGCTTGGAGATGGCTTCCCCAAAGCCCACGTTGTCACTGCAGCCTCCCCACAGCCAGCCTTGCCCCCCTAGGAAAGGAGATGAGATGTGTGTTGTCAGGGAACCAGCCCCTCGCCTGCCTGGCTTGTGGCTCTGGGGACAAGAAAGGGTCTCATAAGTGACGGGAGGGAATGGAGGCTGTGGGGCAAATCCAGTCTTTCGCCTCGTGATACTCCCCAACTCCCTCCCCTTGGGCTCACGCCTTTTCTACTGAGGCCTGGCCAGTAAGTGGCTCATGCAGGCAGCGAAGGGGTACGTCCTCTGCGACAAACCCAGGGATTTCCAGGCTTTCCTATAGAGCAGGGTTCAGAAGCTGTTAATTATTACGCATTAGCAAGCGTATAGATAAGGCTTTGGGTCTTCAATCACCTTCCCTTAAACCCTGACTTAGGCTGGTTCAGTCTGCCTCGCAGGCACAGCATCTTGCTAACGTGGATTAGCAAACTGGTGGAGGCATCCTGGTCAGAGGGAACAGGTTCCTCTGCCAGGAAACAACCCATGCCTGGCACACAGGTATCGAGGAGGATGCCTTTTTGGTACACCCAGAATCCTGGGATGACATTTGGCATCTCAGAAGGGTCTGATTTTCCAATTATAAAGAAACAAGGGAGTCGGCATAGAACGGGGAAACTGCGCAGCAAGATGTGGAGGGTACTATTCCTAACTGCGTGGGAGCTAAATAGCTTAGCTGGGCTGGCTGGAAACACATCATGCAGTTTGCTGCTTTTCCTCCTAGAGAAAAATGCCAAATTCTTTATGAAGATTTGAAATCTGGAACATTCTGACCCTAACGTGCCTTGGCGATACATCTTGGGAGTTGTGGTTTAATGGCCTCGTGCCACTCTTGAAAGGCCCAGCCCTTGCCTGGGCTTCCCCAGAGCATCGTGGTCCCCTCTCCCAGGGGTGTCTCATGGGAGGTGGGTAATTGCAGCGGATGATGAAGTCCAAATCAGGAGCTGGGACCAAAGGGAGAATGGAAACCTTTCACCAACTTGGATTCAGCACAATGACATTTAGAATTGAATCACACTGGTTTGGACAAGCCCAAAAGTGCCCTTTGCCTTCCAAGGTTTTAAGTGCACAATGGAAATTTTTCATGAAAAACAGATATGTTTTGGGGAAAAGAAGTGTAGCATGACTAACTCAATTTTCCAGAGAAGATAAAATTTGGTGTGTCGTTGCCCAAAAGTCTTGCTCTGCTAGAGATAGGCTATCCCATGCCTCAGGCACCTAAGCAGCAGTGGCTGTTTTAAAGCCTATTAGCCCATAAAGCAAATTACTGGACACTCCAGAGGAGTTTGTCATAAATTGACATGTACCGACCACCCAGCATGGCTGGGCGGGGAATGGCTTTTAAAAGGTTCTGATAATTTGAAATTTGACCTCTTTCCATTCAAAACAAAAGACTGAAATGTCAATGTTTTCTGTGAAACAGTGGAGAGCTAGAGCAGTGCAGCCTGGGGCTCCCCACCTCGGGGTGCTTAGCGGCTGCGGGCCTGGGTGCTGCTGCGACAGGAGCGGGGTGAAGGCTGTCTGCTGCCACAGCGGTTCTCCTGGTTGTGCTCTGGTGGGTCTGCCCTGCTGACAAACGCTGGAGGCGTCTATGAATGCCACCCAGCCTTCCCTCCCGGTAGTTCTTCCCTGGGGCCACCCTGGTCCTGCAGACCCTGGGATCCCCAAGGTCCCTGATGAGTGCTGCTCTAACCAGACCTGCCATCTGGGTGCACGGGCTCAGATGCTCTCCTCTGCCTGTACGATACAGTCATTCCCTCCGGCAGCTTAAACAGAGTTGTTCTTGATTTGAACCAGGGAAATCGCAACCCCCTTCTACTTTCCTGCTCATTTAGAAAGTAATGGAAAACGTCAAGGGCTCGGCCTCAGCTGGTGTAAATTGGAGGTGGCCCATTACCTTCCAGAGAGCTACTTTGGTTTGAGCCAGGCAAAGCTCTTCTCTGGGCATTATTTCCAGGTGCAGGGACCAGGAGGAGGAGTTGTTTCTGCAGGCATCAGCAGAGGAGAGGAGAAAAGCTGTCTCCTGCTGCCTGGGACGCGAGAGTAGGACGGCAGCTCATCCCTCCTTACCCAGCTGTCCGTTGCGGGAGTCGTCACAGCCACAGTTGTCGAAATCCCCCAGGCTGCAGTTCCGCGTCAGCGTGTACATGACGCCCGCCGAGCTGATGGCATGGACAAAAGCAGTTTCTCGGTTTGCTGTCAAGTGGGAATACAAGGAGAGCAGATGCGCTAAGGATTTCACGGCAAGACCAGTGTTAGAAACGACTCCTGCCACGCAGGAGACTGCGTAGGAAGAGATTTGCCATGGGCAAGGCTTTGTGGAGTGGAGATGAGGCCCTACATGTCAGATTAGCTTAGTTTTGGCTTGAACTGCACAAAGACAGAAGCTCCCGAATTTGATCCAGACTGACTCATGCCATTTCCAAGGGTGTGCATGAGTTTAATGCTTGGCTGTCCTTGTGGGAGCTCAGCAGTGGGGATACAGCACAGTCCCCCAAATGTCCCCCACGTCTCACTAATAGACCCCAGAGGGGAAGGGGCTCTCTCCAAGGATCAAAGAGCTCCTTCCCCACAGTCCCCTCAAGCCATACCTTCTGATGGACATCATCCAGGGCTCAGAGCAGTGACCATGCCTACCCACCAGGATTGGTGTGGTGATCACCACCTGACTTCACTGAGCCTTTGGCTTTCATTTTATAGCAGCAAGGTCTAGATCTGAGCAGATAACCTTGATGGGAATGGTTCAGGGACCTGCTCCCAGTCCCAGAGTGTTACTTCGGGCTGCAATTGCCTCCTCAAGGCCCCCTTTTGAAACCTCTGTCCACCTCTGCCTGGGGCCCTGGTCCTTTGTCTACCGCCAGTCCCACCAGGGGCCTGAGGCTCTCCTGCATACCCAGCTCCTGCCTGTACAGGACAGGTATGGGCTCAGCCCAGCATCATGCTTGGGTCTAGAGGACCAGGTATGCACTGAAACATTTTCTGGCATCTGCAAACAGGTAAGGAATGGGATACAGTGACTATGACCACAGCCCCATGTCCTGCAGTGGCACAGGTGATGGATGCTGGATTTCTGCCCAAGGTGACCCTGACATCTGGAAGCTCTGGGCAAACTTTTCTCCTGCCTCTTGGCCAGAGCACAGCCACTGATGAACTCTTTCTTGCCCCCTTTAGCCACATCCCTCTGCTTTCCACCCCACCATCCCATGCTAGATCTCAGCCTCCCTGGGACACCCTGGAAAGGGACACCACCCAGGCATGGCGTGTCCAGCAGCCCGTGCTGCAGGCCATGGTGGTGCATCCTTGTGGGGAGCCAGTTGTGTGAGGGTTGGTGGGACACTCCTGTCCTGCACCAGCTGGGGCTTGCAGGGTCTGGAGGTGATGCTGGTATTGCGAGGCTGCCTTGTCTTGAAGCTAGATCCCAGCATGTGTCTGGGAGCTGCTGGGTGAAGGGGCATCCTGGAAAGATCCCTCTGGAACATTCCTGGGGGAGGCACATCCCAGGTGGGGATGGGGAAGAAAAGGAGGCACTTGGGACGAGAAGAGGGGCCCACGGGCTCTAACCTGCAGCAAGGGGTTCCCAGTAGCGGTATGCAATGGTTTCCTTACCGCTGCGCAGCCCGCCGTGGCTGGAGAGCTGCAGTGCCCTCTCGGGGCAGTTCCAGCGGTCCCAGGCGAACTGGAACTTGCACTCCTCGATGCCACTCTGCGCCCCGGCCGCCACGCTGCCGGAGTAGATGAGATAGGCCTAGGAGCAGAGCAGCGGGTCAGGAGCGGGGCCAGCGTGTGCCCCGCTCCAGCCCTCCCAGTGTTAACTTGCAAAACGGAGTCAGGACGCGTTGGCCAGCATGCAGGGACGGCCCCGTGGCCACCAGGCTGGGAACGTCCCCAGGCTACTCCCAGGGCCCGGGGAGTCACGCAGCAGCTCTGATTTCCATCGCAGGCAGCGCAAAGCCGCGTCCTACACCGCAGCGGAGCTGATGCAGGCGTAGCTTTCCTGCCCCGCGCTGCGTAGCGTGGGTCCTGCTGCCTCGGGATCTAGACCTGGGAGCAGCACAGTGCAAAACACCAGAAGGAACATGGCCCCAGGCTCCTCAGGAGGCTGGCAGTCAGATGAAAATAGCTTGCATGCCATCTTACAGAGACGAGATGTACAGAGCTGAGGAGGTCTCTCCGGCTCGGCTCCCCTGGGGAGTGGAGCTTGCCACCAGCAGCAGAAAATGGAATTTTTGCTGTGCTGGGTCAGAGCCTGAGCCTCCCACGGGGAGGAGGCTGAGCTGTTGGCTGTTAGCCACGTTAGGAGGTGCGTCAGCCAGTCCCTGCAATGGGGAACCCCTTATCTCTCCAGAACGAGAGGAGGCAGAGCCTTCTCCTGAGAGACCAGGGAGCTCCAGGCCAGCAGGTGCCTCAGCCTGCCGCCTCCTTCACCGCAGCCCGGGGGGACAGCCAGAGCTTTGGGGCAAGGCGGCTCCACCATAGCACTGAGAGCAGTAGAAGGAGCTAGATGGGCTTGGAGGTGCTCCTGGGGAATAGGCAGAACAAAAATCAGGTGAATTTTACAACTGGTCCTGACTAGGAAAAAAAAAAATCTGAAAGAGGGGTGCCAGGAGGTGGGGGGTCAAAAATACTGAACAAGGTCCTGGTAATTCCAGTTGTGCTCTTTGGGGAAGTATGTTTTGCAGAGCCTCCAGAAAATACATTTCCAGCTTGATGCATGTGGATCCTGATGCTAACCTGATCATCAGGAAGCAATAGATAGTAGCTGAGAGCCTCAGCTGATGCCAATAGACAAATCTCTAAAATCTGGCCCCAAGAAGCTTAAAAGGACCCCAGGCCAAGCTTGTTCAGGGCTGAAACAGCCCAAGGAGCTGCAGCTTATAGCAGGTCATTCCTGGCCCTCCGCTGCCTTGTTGCTGGAAACCTGGGGGTGAGGGGAGCTCTGGCCGAGGCTGGATAGAGAGGTAGCGGGCGGGAGGAGCCCCTCCCTCCCTGGGTTTAGTGGAATCAGGGACAGCGATCAAAGGGATTTCTCTTACCTTGGGGCCCGTCATCAGGAAATTATTCACTGACCTGGAAGACAGAGATGGTGTCAGCAGGGAGGGGGTGGTGGCGGAGGGGCCTGGGGAATGCCTGGCATCCCAAGGCTCCCCTCTTGCCCCCTGCAGCCTGCCTGTCTCCTGGCTGCAGGCACCTTGGGTCTCTCCCCCCATCTCCCCTTGCTGCAAGCCAGGATGGTGCCTTCTCCTTCCCCCCGCTCAACCAGGCTGTACCGGGCTGCAGCCCCCTCACTGCTCCCTCCTTTTGCTTTCCTCCACACAGCTGCTCTTCATACCAATCCTCCCATTTGGTGGTTTTTTTAGTGCTTTTCTGTTCTCTCAGCCTTCCCCTTTAGCCCTAGTAGTGTTGCCCCCAGGCCCAGCAGCTGGACCACCCTCCCTGTGGGACCATGCCGAGGGAAGGAGGAGGTCACACCACTGCTCCTTCATAGAGTGTGTCCCAGCAGCATCCCCCCAGATCATGGTCCCTTTTTTCCTACGGTACCAGCCCTGCTGGAGAACGCTCACATTCTCCTCTTGGTCACGTTGTGGTGATGGCTGAGCACAAACGTGCTTGTCCTCTCCGTGCTGCTGGGCACTGTGCGGCAGGGGAGTTGGGGTATGGGTGGGGTGGGTCCTAGCCAAAATTAAACTTTCTGGTGTTCCCACTGAAGGTGTGACGGGATGATCTCTTTCACAGGAGAAAGGACTGAAGCTTTAAAAAGGCCCAAGAGCCAACCCCAAATATCCCCAGACATAAATGAAGCAAGAAAAGGGAGCTCTCTCTTACAAATACCTCATTCCAGTCTCTCCAAGTTTGCAAAACAACCCTCATCGCTATTTCTGGTGAGTCTCTGGAGCATCTCCCCTGCCAGAGAGATAGGTGAGTGCTGCTATCCCCAGAGGAGGACACTGAGGCCAGAGAGGTGGCATGAGTGGACCGAGACCTTGCAATGAGTGAGTGATTGGGAAAAAGCTAGAGCGTGCACCAGGAGGAACTGGGCTCTTCCGCTTCTTCTTGAGATGATGTTCTGCTTCAAGTGCTGGATATCACCTAGTGGAGGATGTCCCTCCTTTTCAGCTAGCTCCCGCAGAGCCTTAACGCACACCCTTAACCACACTCTGCCTTCTAGCTCCTCTGCATTCCCTGAAAATCCCAGTGGCTGGGCGGACCGTGGCTGGATGCGGGGGAGAAAAGCGTGGCTTAGGGTATGGTTTTTCCTCCCTGTGTGTTTAGCGATGCTGTCTGGAGCCACAGGTATCCCCGGTAAGGGAAGAGAAAGGCTCTGTCCTGTTGTGCTACCAATCCAGCACGGAGGGCGCGGGGGCATCCCAGGGTGGGCTCGAGCGCAGGCAGAAGCAGGCACTGCGGTCCCAAGCCGGGGGAACCAAGTGTAGCCGTGCTGCAGCCCTGCCATGGACATGGGGACGGACAGGGTGGCAGGGCTGGTGCCCAGACACGAGAGGTTTGGAGAGGGTCTTTCCCTGCTCTGGGAAAACCGCTGCTGTGGCCAGCGAGCCTGTTTCACCCCTGCTGGAGCTGCCTGCACGGAGACCCTCTCCGGGGTACACCACGGAAAGGAGGTCTCATTATTTTAGCTTGGTCAAAATCACAAGAAACCTGGTCTTTGCTATTACTCACAGTTTAGAAGGAGTTGAGAGAACTAGTTTGCAAAGTTTCACTCTGGTAAGTCTAACTTTTTTTTTTTTTTTTTTTTGTGGAAATGCGTCCATACTGATGAAGCTTGCCTTGGGAAAGATTTCCCTGGGTGAAAACGGGAGGGAGAGGGCTGTGCCAGGGCACTGCGAGAGCAGGAGATCCTCTCCCTTTGTTCCAGGCCTGGGATTCAGACCCGGCTGTGCTCCAGCCCCCGTGGGTACTTTAGCACGAAGTCGATGGCTGTTTTGCAGAGGAATTTTCCTTTGGGAGCCGCTTCTGCATTGTACAGCTAATTAAATATTTCCTGGGACTTGGAGAGACGGCATCTGTAGCTGAGTGATTAGAGCATCGGGTGACCTGAATCACACAGGGCCATGAACCTGGGGCTTTTCAGACTGTGTAAGCTCTGTGGGTCCCCATCCTAATGCAACTGGGTAGCAGCATGAACGAGTCATTTTTCCATCTGGTTTCCCTCCTGTCCTTTGCCTTGCCCCTAAGTGCTTTGCTATGGGGACCACACTCGGGATGGCATCAGTGTGAATCTGAGCCCCTGGTAGCAGCTGTGAGAAAACTCGGGTAAAATGTCCCTGTGTAGGCAAGACGTAGAGAATTGCAGGTCCTCTTGCTTTTCTGATCAAAAACATCCCGTCTGCATTGTAGGAAAAGCCAAATTCACAGTGTGCACGAAGGATTTGCTTCAAATCCTTGCTGGCCTCATCTTGGATTAGGAACATCTGCGCAGTTGCAAGGGTGGCTTTAGGAGGAGGACAGTAACGCACGAATTCGGGGTTTAGAGCAAACCAGCCTGTTAGGAGGTGTCAATTGACATAACTGCACCGAAGCATAGGATCCGTTCCTCCTGGGGTAAACCTCAAGGTTCACAAAAAGGCCAAGTTCAGGATATGCCAATTCACCGTCTGCAGCTGAGCAAATGGTACAGTAGCAATTTCCCAGCAGGATATTCTAAACATTTTTATTAAGTTGGAGAGACAGAAGGCATTTCCCCCTAGTGCTCTGACCAACAGGCAGGCACGCTGCTGGGTGGGTTTGTAGGACTTAGACAAGTTAAGGATTCGTTTAGACTGGTACGCTTGACCCCCCACATTTAACTCTTGCAGCTGCGAGTGGATTCAGGAGAAGGAACTGTCATATGGCTGGAGGCTAGCTGAAATTTTTCTTATTTATGCTGAGAGGGAAGGAAAGACAATAACAGCAACAAAATCTGTGTGCTTTGTCTTTGCTCGTATGACCTAGCTAAGAAAAACGCATCTCTGCTCTGGATACAGCCTCCAGCAAGGGCAGAGAGTACTGAAGCCGCTTGTCCCACGGATGTAGTGCAATATTGACGGTGCCACTAGAGTCATCTCTGTGCTGCAAATAGGAATCACTGCGAAAATAAATCTTGCTTCATTTTTGTCTAGGTAGTGTGATTTTTATTCACTTATTTATTTCTGCTAATTTTCCATATTACTGTAAGGAAAGCTGAATGTAATCCTAAACTAACTAGCTAGCTGCATCCACAAGGGGTGTAAACCAGCCCAATTCCGACGACTTTGGTATCATCACACTGGTTTAAAACTTTTTGAAATCACAGACATGAAAGGAAACACTTGCAATTATTTCTCTTCTCCGACAGGGTTTCTAGCTATCTAAACCCCTTTCCCTCCACCTTCGAATTCCAGGACAGCGTTACACGGACTGAAGCAGAGTGGACACAGACCTCAGCAGGCAGAGAGAGGAGACCCGCCGAGTCCTTCAGCCCCCTCCCCAGCCCATGCAGGGCCCTGGGCAGGGCACGCTGCTTCCCCCGCTGCAACTCCATGCATCCAGGTAAAAAGCAAATCTAGGGCAAGTGATTTTCATTGCATCTGATATTAAGAAATTATCTCAAAACTAATGAGTATCAGTAGGAGGAGTTCTCTATCACAGTTTTATTGATCCCAAAGGAAATAACCCTGCCAAGCAGCTGTCCCATTATATTTTACACATATCAAATACTAATAAGCCTCTGATAACTTCTGCTCAGTTACAACTTTAACCAATAACAGCACCCTGCTCCTCAGTTTAATATGCCCCAAGAGCCTTATCAAATCTCCCGTTTAAGTATTTGCTTGATACCTTATCGCCCACTCATGCGACTGTGCTGCTGGTTCAGGTCTTTAGAAAATTATAAAGCTGTATTTACATCTTTGCTGCCATTATTGTAAATGCAGAAAATGGATACAATGTCACTTTGGATCTGAGTTTCGTTCTCAAGTACAAACTCTCCCAAGTTATTAGGAAACCAATGACACTGGAAACTAAAGGCAAGCCCACAGCTGAAGTGCAAAAAAACATTTAGAAACAAGCTGCTGCATTAGAGGTTGTTATATTATTCCCACAGGACAGGAGACCAGGAGGCAACTCATTAACATTTGGAGCTTCACGTGGGTTTTTTTTTTCTTCATTTATCTCATATATCATATGAGATATTCATATTATCTCATATATTTTGTTATATTTATTTGTTTTTTAGTTCCTAAATGCAACCCTGACATATTGCTCATCTAGAAATACGCTGACCATTCAACCTAGCTGACACGGCAGAATCTAATCCACACTCAGAGAAGGGAAGTGGCCACATATATGTATAAAAGAAAAATGTTGTTGATCTATATTGCCCCCTGCTCCCAACTCTCACGATTAAATCACAGGAAAAAAGAATCTTGTTGCGTTTTAAGCTGTTGGATCAGATAAAGAAGACCAGCAAAAATTGCAAGCAGGATTATTGTATGGTTCCCATGAACCTTGCTTTTTTCTCCCCAAGGGTTAAGGGACAGGGTCTGTAGTATGATCATTTTGAATAAAGTTTGCAATTTTCCTTTCTCTCAGGAAATCATGACCTATGAGCAACACGTGGAGAGAAGCAGGACTATCTTGATCTATAAACTTTCCTCTTACGTGAAAACTTCTGAAAGGCAGGCAGGGAATTTGGATATCCAACTTCCATTGAAAATACCTGGGATTTCTGTATTTAACCCTACTTTGTGCTCTGAAATTTCTTCCCTTTGAACTGCTTCTTTAAAATGTTGCTTTTTAAAAATCCTTTAATGAATTCTAAACTTGTTTATATTGAGGAGAGCAAGAGACATACACAGGAAGAGCAGGAAAATAAAACCAAAATCAGCCTGAGTTCTTGCCTAGCATCTCTGCATAACATACATATTTCCCTTGTTCCAGAAAGGAGATTTATCTTGAGCTTGCTACTGTATAATATTTAGACATCTACAAATTGTTGCACATTCTTTTAATGAAGGGAGTAGAAAATCTCTGAAAGAACATGATTTTCACTCCCAGCTTAACAGGGATGAGTTTCCATTTACTCTTGAGTTTCTCTTTCTGTAATTTTGGTTTCTCCATTCATGGTAATAACCCTAGAGATCTGCTATGGGGAAGGCAGGGAATTTTAGTAATTGAACAGGAAAAGACTTTCCTTGCTGTTAGAGATAAGTGTGTAACCCATTGAGCAGATTCCCCAGGGCATCACAGAAATGGAGGATAAAGTTTGGGTACTCGGTAAAAATCACATAGGAAAATATACCTACGGAGCCAGGTCATTTGAGTCCACCTCCACTTGGGTATGGGATAGATATACTGTGCAAGGAATGATACAAGATTTGATGCAAGTGTAATCTCTTTCTGTTCACCCTTATAAAACATATAAATAAATGTAAAGCCACCCTTCGGACAGAGCAAGAGGCCCACAGGAGACGACTGCAGGTCTGCGCACGGAGGAACTGGTCCGACGGGACCCAGGTGGTTGGGAACCAAGCCGTAGCAATCTCCGTACCAGACGTTTCTCCCCAGGAAATCCTAACGCATGGATTTCAGACATGTGTAATCCTGACCCTGTGCCTGCCAAGGAGTCGGGGTCTCAGGCTGCTCATCCGGAGTGACGCTCCCGTGGATCTAACTCACCCCTGCTGGCTCTGAGCTCTTAATCAGGGACGGTCCTCTTCGGGGAGCGTGGGAGAAGCCCTGCTTGGTTTGATCACGACAAGAGACAAGCTGACTGTGAGCCTTTGGAAAAACAGAAATCCCTGGGTCTCCCATCGGGTTATCTTCCCAGTTGGAAGTGAGGGGCTGGATCCTCCGTATCCACTCTCCTCTACTCTATTTTACCCCAGCTCAGGATTTGGCCCATATAGTTATTGTTGGGAGGCACAGGGGAAAAAGGGGACTTTTTTAGATCTAACCTCTCTGCCAATGGGTGTGTTTGGACTCAGCTAAATATCTTGTCCCATTAAAGACCAGAACGGAGCTAAGTGGGAAAAAGGGGACATTTAGGAAGGCGAAGAGGAATTTCCTTAGGGTGTCCGGGAAGAGCACCTGCCTGTGACACAGACTGAGGGGCTCTCGATACTCACCAGGCACAGCAGGATTGGAAGAAAGGAGTGAGGAAGAAGATGCCCAGATAAGGGTCCATGTAAAATATAAAATCCAAATAAAGAGGGAGAAAAGAGATCCTAAAAAAAAAACCTTGGGTACCACCACCACCAGAGAAAAGAAAAGAAAAAAAAAAAAAAAGAAAAAAGAAACACAACAAAATTAGGGAAGGGATGGAGTTATTTTCCACCCGGCAGTCCTGGTGTGATGAATCCCAACTTCTGTGAAGGGTAACCAATCCTAAAGTAAGAGCTAAAGGGGGTTGGTGAAATGGAGCCGCAGAACTTCCTAAGAAGAGATTATCTACTTAATTAAAGATTTTTTTTTCCCCTAAGTCCTTCAGCCAATCAGGACTCAAGTGCCAGAGAGAGATTGAACTGATGAAAAGAACACCCCAGGTTCCTCGAAGACAAATGCACCACGAAAGGGATAAGAGGGAGGGAAAAGGGGAAAACAAAAAAAAAAAAAAAAAAGAAGAAAGAAAAAGAGAGAGAGAGAGGGATAAAGAAAGAGACAGCAAATCCCTTAAAGTAATCACTAGCTTCAATCGCCACCAGCACTGCCCTGCCTCTCCGTCCCCCGCAAAGGCAACTGGAAGGGCTGCCTTCGGCGTGCCCTCGCCTCCTCCTGCCTCGGAGACATCCCTGGGGACGGGGTGCACTGGGTGCCCGGGGATGGGGGGCTTGGGTTCAGGCCGGCCGCACCCACGGCTTGGAGGCCATGCAGCGTGCTTCAGGGAGAAGGCTGGGAAACAGAGAAGTGAAAATTGTCTCGGTCTCCCCCGGGAGTTTAAGGGGCATCAGGGCCAGTTCCTACCTCCATCTGCTCCTCCTTCATCATGGTGACCTGCTCTTTCCTCCCATCTGCTGTTTGCAACGCGCCACTCTCACCACGGGAGAAAGGCCTCTGACTAAACCTCCACATTCCCCCTTCATTTTTTGCTTTTGGTGTTTCCTACAAAGTCCATGGGAAGGGGTCTCTCAGTGAGGGCTTATCTGAGGCCAAGAACTGCTGGAGCTACTTGGAAAGCACATCCCGCCTGTGCCTCCTGGGACATCCCGGTTACTGTCACGCTGCCCGCCACAGCCACTCTGACCAGACCTAGGTCAACAGTCCCAGAGCCGTAGGAGCATCTTCTCCACTCTGCACAGCTGATTTTTGTGTTCTGGACATAATCAGCTGAAACATGGGCTGAGACCAGTCAAACTCATTTCACCTGGGATGCAGCCGCTGGGCAGATGGGCTGGACCAGGTCGGGATTTGAAGGGGAACAAGACCCTGTGGCTGAGCCATTGGGCAGGGTTGGCTGGAGGCTGAGCTTTGCTCGGGGCCACCTCAGGCGGACGAAAGTCCCTCCTGGGTCACGCAGTCCCAAGGAGGGCAACATGCCCGGCAGAGGTTTGCTCTCAGCCAGACTTTGGCCACCCCACACCGAGAGCGGCTCTGCCCAAGCCAGGGACCTCCGGCCGGACACGTGTGGGGCACAGCACGCAGGGCACTGCTGGCAAAACGCTACCCCTGCCCAGAGCCTGCCCGGCCAGCCCGGCCCCTCGCCCCGGGGGTTTGCAAGCACCGGGGCGAGGAGAAAACAGCCGATCCCGGGGCCAGCTGTGCCTCCCGGCCGCGTCCTGTCCCAGCAAGGCCGGTGGTATTTGCAGTAATTAAAGCCCCAGCTCCTGGAGCCCTGAGCATTTCAAAAACCAAGGTGTTGTGTACGTTGAGAAAAAGCTTGAAAATTTGTCTAGTGGAAGATAAAACCCCCGAAACTGAAAGGTGTGGGAAATAAGCCTTTATTTGTTATACTGAAATAGAATTTCGACGCTGTGATGTTTAGCGCAGTTTAATGGTTTGGGTGGCCCAATTCAAGTACTGGGGGTGGCCGTGCTCTCCCCGCCAGGAGAGGCTGTCTGGACGCAGGGCATGCTGCCCTTGGCGTTTATTTCTGACGGCAGGAAGAAGAATAATTTCCATTTGTTTCTTCTAAGTCTCCAAATGTCTGTTTCAGGACTCTTGAACCGGAGTTTTCTCATTCCTTGAGTCCAGCAGTGACAGCATTTTGAAATCATGCAACGCTTCAGACATGTCTTGACCAACTGGAAAGGAAAGACACTGCTGGGTTCGCTGGGGTAAGCTATTTTTGTTTACTCCAAGACAAATTAAGTAAGGGGATTGCAAAAATGAGGAAGAAAATAATTATAGGTGGATCCAAACTAAAGAGGAGGAATTTATTTTTTTTATTAGCTGTTACAAGAGGCAGCCAGGCCTTCGTCCAAGCACACAGAAGCACCAGCAGCACCAGGGCATTTTGGATCCAGCAGCCTCCCCAGTCAACTTCTAATTTCAATTAAATGCAATAGTCATTTTCCTGGAAACAAGCATGTTTTTCAAGCCAAAGAGGCTGGAGGCAAAGCCTGAAACAAAACTGTCTCTAACATGTTTCAAAGCACTTAATTACAGCTCTCAAAGGCTGTTTAATAGACTCTATGAGATACTCTCTAAAAAAAATGGGATGCAACTTTTTTTTTATAATGTTCCTCAAATTTTGTTATTGCTACCAACAAAAGCTCTGTAAATTTTCTAAAATGGGCCCAGAGAGCATTAAAATACATTTTATGGCCAGAAAAACTGGTATATTATCCCTTCTGACCCTTTGGCCAATGCAGATCTTTACTGACCTTTGCATTGAGTGCTGTAACGTGTGTTTGACTATTTGCTCATCTCCCAGAACGGCAGACAGCGTTTGAGGACAACAGGAGATAGAGAACCTACCACCATCTGTGGTAATTTGTTCCAGTTTGTTAAAAGAGCAAACCAAAATATTAATATAAGATGTCTAGGTTTGATTTCCAGAGTACAGAACATCTGAACTGTCCTTAAAGAGCTTGTACAAGTAATCACAGAAAGAGTAAAAAAAATAAAGCCTCTAACACTCTTGCTGCCTTCCACCCTGGTACAAAATCAACTGATGGATATGAAAAATGAGTTTAAGTACAGGGGGTAAAAATTCCAAGTCAGGCTCATAGATATCTCAGAATTTTCTTGGTGTCAATGCAAAGTGCCCAAAGGACAGATTTTTTTAAACCAAAATGACCATTACAAAGGTCAAGACAGAATGAAGTCTCTTATTTTAAAATATATGAAAAAGGTATGAGGTCAAAATAAAAAGAAATTAATCTCGTCTAGGAGGCACACAGAATTCAACCCTGAAAGAGCTGAGCAAGTCTCAAGAAGGTCTGGCTTCCCAGTGCAGTAAGCAGATTTCAACTGACTTGACTGCAGCTTTGCCTTTTGCACCCACTACATACGGCTTCAGTAGTGTCTAATGCCTGACAAAACATCTCCCAGCACCCCAAGAAAGTCTAAGTGTTCCTTGCAATCCTGTACTGAACATGCTCTGTGCTATTCTGCTCCTACAGTCAAGTGGTTCCAGAAACAAAACCAGACAAAGGCTGGAGACGTTTAATAGCTTTTATTAGATTGACTGATACGCAATGGAAGAAGCAAGCATGTTGTTAGAGCATTTTGGATCTGAAAAGGCAGGAAAGGTGCTGATGTGCCCAGAAGTTTGTTTATGTTTGTTTTTAGCTATATCAATCTGAGATTGTGCCATTAAAGACAGTATTGACACACCAGGACACGCAAACTGCTGCGTGACCTCTTCACTGTGATCTTGACTTTGTAACCTTGCTGTTCCCTAACGCTGCTCTCTGCATAGGTGACGCACGCTGAGCAGCCTCCCGTAAGGTCTGTTTGTGCTTTACCGGTATTGAATGTATCCTCACATTTGCAGGTTTTCCTTATGGTTCATGAAAGGACAGCTCAGGGATCCTTGCCTACTGCAGGGAACTGTGTGACAGGACACATCCAGCACACATCTCATAGGAAGCGACTTCTGCCAAACTGTGGGGAAAGGCAGGAGGGTGAGATGTTTAGGCTGTTCTTCAGTTGCTGGAGAAAAGCTTAAGGTGTGCACAAGAAACCAATAAACTTATTTCACATCAGAAAGGACAGAAATGTTGCAATGGCTATAGAGGGTTGGCTCAAGGTTCAAGGCATGGACACCTACGAAGTGTTTTCCACCTGCGGCTCTCGAAGTGCCTCAGTGAAACAGCTCCCCTGGTTTTCCCATTTTACAGGATGCAAAACTGAGGCCCGGAGCCAGGCAGTGGTTTGGGTCTAGATCCAGCCTCCTGCACCCTAGGCTGGCCCCAGCCTCCATCTGACTAATCTGACGTTCAAGGCAGCCAGTTTCAAGAGAAAGGCAAAGGTCTCTAGGGAAACATCCTCTTTAGCCATGATATGTAGGAGTTGGCCGTGCCGTGGAGCAAGTGAGCTTAGAGCACTTGAAAAGCTCCAGTTCATCCTTAGCCTGGCCTACGATGATTCCTTTATCACGCATTCTCAGTTACAGTACTAGACGATATTCCCTCTTGAATGGTCTTGACTTGCCATGGCAGTGACTTGCACAGGCTCACACTGTGTTGGCCAAAAAAGTATTTCTTTTGAGAGTCCAGAAAGCAAGTACAGATCCAGGGCATCTTTTTCGAGCACCCACTGTCCAAGTGGCTGAGGGCTGCGAGAGGGAAAGGGACAGAAGTGCTGAGAGGTGGGGTATCTGGAGATGAAAATCCACGAAAATTGAGGAGGTGGTGTGCCATTAAAGCACAAGCATGATCTGCTTGGAGAAAAAGGACCGGGAGGGAAATTATGTATAGCACTCCAGGAGGGTGTAATTAGGACAAGCAGGACTGAGCGAGTCAAAGCACATTCCTGGCTGGCTGGCAGGAGGTGAGATAAACCTGGAGGTGAGAGGGACCATACTGAGCTCCCAGGTCTAGCAACATACCCTGGCCACTTGCCAGCCACACCTCGCTCCTGTCCCTGTGCACCTCGAAGGAAAGCCAGACTCCCATGCGGAGCGGCAGCTACAGTGCTCCCCAGCATGGCCCTTTGGGGACCAGGAGGCCACATGCTACTGCTCATCCTGGACAAGGCCACCATCCTTCAGAGAGCCTTGCTCGGGCCACCAAGACAAGCTCA